TGGGACATGAAGTATAATGTAGGGAAGTGTGAAGTCATCCACCTAGGTAGCAAAAACAGTAGAGTGGGTTATTTTTTAGAACGGGAGAGATTGGAATGTGTTAGCATCCAGAGGGACTTGGGTGTCCTTGTACACCAATCACAGAAAGTTAGTCTGCAGGTGCAGCAGCAATTAGGAAGGCGAACGGTATGTTAGCATTCATTATGAAAGGATTAGAGTATAAGAGTAGGGAAGTCTTGCTGCAACTGTATAGGGCCCTGGTGAGACCACACCTGGAATACTGTGGGCAGTTTTGGTCTCCTTACTTAAGGAAGGATGTACTTGCCTTGGAGGGGGTGCAGCGTAGATTTACTAGGTTACTGCCAGGGATGAAGGGAATGAGTTACGAGGATAGGCTGACCAATTTGGGCCTATATTCTCTAGAATATAGAAGAATTAGAGGGGATCTTATAGAAACCTATAAGATCATCAAAAGGCATGATAGAGTAGATAGTGGGAGATTGTTTCCCCTGGTTGGAGAAACTAAAACCAGGGGTCACAACCTTAAAATCAGAGGCCAGCCCTTTCACACTGATTTGAGAAAGAACTTCTTCACTCAAAGGGTGGTGAATGTATGGAACTCACTACCCCAAAGGGCAGTTGACGCTCAGTCCTTGAACATATTCAAGACTGAGATAGATAGATTTCTTATTGTAAAAGGGATTAAGGGATATGGGGATAAGGCATGATTAGGTTATTAGCTGGAGTTAGATTAGAAGATCAGCCATGATTGAATGGCGGGGCAGGCTCGAGGGGCCGAATGGCCTACTCCTGCTCCTACATGTTATGTTATGTTATGTTATGTTAGAAACCTATAAGATTCTTAAGAGTCTTGACAGGGTAGATGCTGTGAGACTGTTTCCCCTGGTTGGAGAATCTAAAACTAGTGGTCATAGTCTCAAGATTAAGGGTCAGTCTTTTCGAACTGAGTTGAGGAAACATTTCTTCACTCAGGGGGTAGTGAATTTGTTGAATTCTCTACCCCAGAAGGCTGTAGATGCTCAGTCCTTGAACATATTCAAGACTGAGGTTGATAGATTTCTAAAGGATAGAGGGATTAAGGGATATGGGAATAGGGCAGGTAAATGGAATTAGGTTAGAAGATCAGCCATGATCTTATTAAATGGCGGGTCAGGTTCGAGGGGCCAAATGGCCTACTCCTGCTCCTACGTCTTATGATCTAACCTTGGAAGGGTAGTATCTGGTAACCTTCATTTTTTGCAAGTGTGCGGCTGGTATTTATAAGAAAAACGTACTAAACATATCCAACTATTGTCCCTATTTAGTGAATGAGAAAAGTGAATCGAGTGTTTGATACAAAACTTATCAATTGCTGGAGCATGGCTCACATCTTTCGCAGTTTATAACATACACGTATGTTTGAGAGAGCTCTTGCCTTCTGACAATGTGACAATGTGCTGTTCTCAGGGTTTGTGTTAGAGCTTGTACTTTACTGCCATCTGGCAGACATTCCTGTCTATGCATCTTACTGATGCATTGGAACCTCCCTCGCCCTGAATGCATTAATTCCTCGGTAGGTTCACTTGCTTCACCATTAACTTGATTTTAATAATTCAGATATCTGCGAGTTTCTATCATCCACTGATATTAACTCTTTGTGTACCATGTGCAGAATCAATTGGGGGTGCTTAGAAGGGTAACAATTCAGATATCAACAACAACAGCAACAACTTGGATTTATATAGCACCCTCCACGCCGGATGGCGTCTCAGAGTGTTACCTTTAGGGAGGAGAGGTAGACAGGGCATTAAGGGACACAGAGAAAAAACAGGGGAATAGATTGAAAAGATTCTGGCAAACTATGCAGTTTTAGTTGATTAAACTCCTGCCATACTCCAAAGCATACTCAGAGGCCTGCCCAGAATTAGGTAAGGTAGGATGCGTCCTCTAGGGAGACAGTTCACATTCCATTCCATTGGAAAATGTCTTAAAAGTCCGCTTGAGCAGGCAGGTGGACTTTAAGTTGAACATCTCATTTGAAGAACGGCACCTCCAAGAATGCAGCATTCCCCCAGCCCTGCTCTGGAATGTCAGCCTGTATAATAATAATCCTTGCATTTGATATAGCGCTTTTCACGTCGGGAGGACGTCTCAAAGCGCTTCACAGAACACACTGTAAAGTGAATTGACTGTATATTTGTGGGCGAACGCGGCAGCCAATTGCGCACAGCAATGTCCCACAAACAGTCGTAGATTGAAAATGACCAATTTATTATTGTTTTGGGTTTTGGAGGGATTATTATTAGGCTCTGTGTGGAGTAAGGAAACTTGCTCAAGGTTTCGCCCTCTGCCTGGAATTGAACTCAGGTCTCTCGCTTGCAAAGCGAGTGCTCTAACCACTGAGTTACAGGACTCCACAATGAGTTATGTACAATGTATGAGTTATTATTACTATTATTATGATGTGAGTTCAAAGTCCCAACATGGGTCTTGAACCCATAGCCTCTGACTCATAGACAAGAGTGCTACCCAGTGAGCCAGGCTCAGTAATTCTATGCTAAAAGGCATCCGTACGCCTCTGATCTTTCAGAATACAGAGCGATACATCAACATTAATGTATTGACCAGCACTTCATAGACCATCAGCTTCACTAAAACACCATTGGAATTCATAATTACATTTAATCAGAACCATTAATTATTGTTAGCATTAGACATTGCTGGGAATTTGCTTGTGCGGATCACTATAATTTAGCGGTTGGGGCGTGTCAGCATTATTGAGAATGCATCTCTGTCCCACAGCTCAGATTACGATGTATCATGCAGTCTTCAATAAAAGAGCAGTGAAATAAATCTCCAATCCCTCTGATGAATGTAGATTATGTAAGAGACTGAAAAGGGGTAGAAAAATTCTGTCACGTCTATTATTTTGGGAGATAGAACCTCCCCCACAACCTCACCACACACACACATACACACACACATAGACACACTTCTCAACAGCAAATGTCTGAAAATGTGAAGTGGGAAACATAAACCCAAGACAAGGGAGAAAATGTTTCTTCCTAAAGAATTCATTACAAATCCTTTGATCGTTAGTGAAACAATGTTAATCGTGCCATTAATTGCTTCAGTTGACCCTCTCCCCGCAAGAGAGGGCGAATTCCGCTCAATGTAATTATTGTCATTTATTATGCGATTTCCATTTAAATAAGAACCCATCTATAATTTAGTCCAATTATCACACTGACACAGCTCAACCCATTTGGAGCAATGAATGCATGTTCCAATCTGTTTTTTACTATAATTCGCCCCCTCCCGAAAGAGTTTAACTCCTTCTATTGGGCCACAGTTCCATGGGTGCTGATCACTGTTCGTCTAGCACACCCAAGTGGTCATTATTCATCTGTTAGCTTTGACAGTGAGTGTTGCCAATTGAGGCGGGGTAGAGGAGTTGGGGAAAACTTAGCTGAGCTTGAAAAATATATAGAACATTCCTGCATTTGTTATCGCACCTTTCACGGCAAGAGGATGTGTCAAAGCGATTCCCAGAATTTACTGTAAAGTGTATTGATTGTGCATTTATAAGTGGACTCTGCAACCAATTTGCACATATCAATGTCCTACAAACAACCATGAAGTAAATGACCAGTTTTATCTGGGGATTGTTGGTCAGGAACCTTGGTCTATAACATATCAAGTATATTACTGCATCTAACATGATAAATACTATTTACATTTAATAGCTAAAGTGACTTTATTGGAAAACAATGTGGCTCCATTATGGTCTGTTGCTAGTGCAAGATTATTATTATTTGTAATAACTTAAATATTACAACATTTAAATATTTAAAACGACCGTTTGTGGGATACTGCTTTGTGTAATTGGTTGCCACATTTCGCCCACAAAACAATCACTACACTTTACAATATATTCTGTGAAGTGCTTTGAGATGCCTCAACACTGTGATAAGGTGCTATATCAAATGTAAGAATTATTATTTCTATTGATGCATTTTGTATCCACCAGTACAGTGGTGTGCAGGGCTACTGTGATATGCCAGATCAGCAAAGACTGTTCCATGGACAACGTTACTCACATTGCTGCATTTCTGAGGCGTTCACTCGGTATCATTATTTGGCAAACTCGATTTGACTCAAGTGCATTTTCATTAAACCTACTGGAGGAATCAGACAGCCTTGGGACCGTTTTCCAGTTCAGCGACATTAATCTCAATGAAGACTGCTAATATTTACCGTCTGCAGGTTAGCTTGTAACCGAGCAACTCATTTTAGGCGAGCGATGTGATCGGGATACAGCTTCTGATACTAAATGGTTCAAATGAAACCTTTAATACATTTTCAGTTGCATAGCAACACAGTTACAGTTCACATAAAATGGAAATTACTCAGTAACTCCAGAAATTCAACACTTATAAACACATTGATTCCAATTTACATAAAAAAACAACAGAACCATTAGAAAAAACAGCCATTACCTAAACATTTTACATTATATCAGAGTTGAGGATAAAGACATATTTGGCAGACATTTCCAGATAGCTTGATGGAGGATTAAGTGAAATTAGAAAAGTTTACTTTGCCTAGAAGTGAATGATAAAATTACAAAATGGGACACCTTTCACTGGCATCAAAAAGACTAGCGGCCGTTTAAAGTTCATAAAAATTAAGGAATTCAAGTGAGGGCGAATATCGTAACTGACATTTAAGAAAATAATCAATAAGCTTGCAACTGATATAAAATCTTCCTGTCAAAACATCTGACAGCCAGTATGGCAACCAATCTGCACATGGCAAAGAGCCATGAAGGAATGACCAGATGTTATATCATGGTAGACTGTTTGCAAAGACATTGGAAGAAATGCCCTTCTCTTTTCAAACATCTTTAACGTCTACCTAAACAGGTAGGTAGGATCTAAGTTTAATGTCTCAGCCGAAGGACGAGACATTAAGCTGGGGCTTGAACCCTAAGCTTCTGACTCAGAGGTGAGAGTGTGACTAACTGAGCCAAGCTGACGTATAGCATTTGCTATTGAGATTTTGTATCATACAATACATTGGGATGTAATGTATGTCATGTGTAAACAAGTGTGTACTATCTGCCTTGTGCAAACGTGTACAGAGGAAATTTCCCGTAATAATGTGATTAACAACTAATCCTGTCATTACTTGTTAATTATATATTAAAGGTGCCTGTCAACAATAACAACAACATGCAATTGCATTGCACCCTTGAGGTGGCGTAGCATCTCAGAGCGCAGAAGCATTGTCATTCCTTCTCTGGATTTGCATGCATTTACGCATGGTGCACATTAGACCAGTCTATGCCCATTAGAGCCTAAAGAGAACATTGACCCGCTGTAGCACAAAGTGCAACACACTATTAATTGAGATTTAGGTCAGCTTTAATCCATGTTTATGATTACATAGTTGGATGACAATTAAACATTTCATCCCCGCTCTTTGATTAATCCAGTTTGGAGGTTTATGTATCAACAGTCAGATTTTCCCCAATCCAGTGACCATTACTTTTCATTTACATTTCTCTTTTTTTCCACGCTTCAGATCCCGAGCCTTGGAATCATTGAATGATACAATTACAAAATGGTTTCAGCCTTGCAGCCATGGCGACTTGATTGCAAGTTCCTCTCCTTCCCTTGACCTTGGTTTGGGTTCAGGCTTTGGGACATAACATCACTGAGCCTTATGTTGCCACCAGCTGTGGGGCCAAGCTGGTTCTTTGAGACTAATGAGTCATTTTAGAATTCCGCTGTAGAGGAGCATCTGTTCTTCCAAACTGAAAGGACAATCTGTCATAGAAAAGCTCAGGTGGCACAACAAACCAGTGCAAATCTGTTCACTCGCTGCAGCTTTAACTGAAATCAAATTTCAAGCCTCAGCGCAGGTTTAAGTTCTGTCAGCAAGGCTTCCCCAACAAGGTTCAGTTTGTTATTCGGCAGATTTCAGACCTAGTCAAGAAACAAGTACACATATTAAAATACAGGTATTGAATCAGTGCGCATTGCATTGACTGGCAACTGTGTCTGTGCGGTGATCCTCTCTCTTTTAATAGAAGTGAACTTTCCTAGTGTAGTGCCATGTAAAGTGTTGACAATCAACTTTGGTTATAATGGCAAAAGCAGACACTTAGTTTACAAGACAAATGATTAAAGTACGGGAGCGACTGTAGAATGATAATAAGGCAATGTCTGTCTGTTTCTGGGAGCCTGCCAGAGTGTTTTGTATTCCCCAATTGACTCTGGCATGTTAATATGTATTGACACAAGATTCTGCAGCTAACGTCATCTCCAGGTCATAGAGAATTGGCAGTGTTTTGGGTTGGATCCATGGTGCGATTTTCCCATCTGTTGTAACTCGGTCTGTCAATGGTAATTTAATTTTCTATCTGGCAGTACTAATGAAAGTGAGCCACTGCTAGGCTAATGGTTAATTCTTCCACAGCTCTGATTAACAGAGCTTTGGGTTACTACAGCTGTCATTAGTATCTATAGTCCATTGGGACATTCATGGGGAAATCACACACATCTTAATTCACTGCATTCATTGGTCACTGCTCATTGACCACACTTTCATTCATCTTTCCCCTCCCCTCCCTCCTTGGTTCCCACTTCCAGCTCAAGTGCCCAGCCAGCAGTTTCAAGCACTTTGAGACATCCTTCCAACATGAAAGGCTATATAAATGTATTTGTATTGCACTGTAATTTCAGTTTAGGCAAGGTGTGATGCCAAAAAAAATTAATACTGCAAACTACCAAAAAGCTGCTCAATTATTGGGAAAACTATTACTATGATATTAATCACTAAATATCAATCACTAATATAAATATTAAAACAAAGATACAAATCATTTTATAAAATGTTTCTGTAAACTCTCCATCATTGCTTTTTCATATTCTTTTCTTCCTCATTCTCCTTATTTTTTCAAAAAAAATGTGTTCACTGTTCTAACATTTGCTATAAGTAAAACAACAACAACAAAATTACATGTGCATAGCGCCTTTCACATCAGGAGGACGTCCCAAAGCGCTGGACAGTCAGTGTTCGGACCCGAGCTGGCGGTCGGGATTGGGGAGGGCAGGTGGGGAAGGAGGGTGATCCAAAAGCACGGTCGAAGAGGAAGGTCTTGAGATGGGTTTTGAAGGAGGCAAGGGAGGTTTCAATTTCAAAAAGCTTTCAATTGCCCTTTCTATTTCATTCTGCCAGCTTCCACTCTCACAGAATTCACAGTCAATCCGCTTTACAGTGTATCCTGTGAAGTGCCTTGAGACATCTCAATGACGTGGTAAGGCGCTATATCAAATGCAAGGATTATTATTATCACTGGAGGAACTGAAAGCAGGCAATCAAAACATCAAAGGCTGACAATGCATTTTAAACCTTGGCTATGGAAAGGATGAGATTGAATTGGCCAGATGTAACTGCAAAGAGTTAATGGATAGTCTGACTCACATTAAGCCATAAGGACAATGAATAAACCATAACAGTTAGAATCCTCTTATTGACATGTATTGTGTTTCTCAGTAGAAATACCTAATAAGTGGTTCGCCAGATGCTTCAGACTGCTGTTGAGTGATTTGAAGGAATATCAGCAGAATTATCCTAGAACAAAATAAAATAAAACCTGTTTGATTCTACACATAACAAACAAGAATACAAAAATAATCCTTGTGGAGTCCTGTAGCTCAATGGTTAGAGCACTTGCTTTGCAAGTGAGAGACCTGAGTTCAATTCCAGGCAGAGGGCGAAACCTTGGGCAAGTTTCCTTACTCCACACAGAGCCTAATAATAATCCCTCCAAAACCAAAAACAATAATAAATTGGTCATTTTTAATCTACGACTGTTTGTGGGACATTGCTGTGCGCAATTGGCTGCCGCATTCGCCCACAAATATACAGTCAATTCACTTTACAGTGTGTTCTGTGAAGCGCTTTGGGACGTCCTCCCGACATGAAAAGCACTATATCAAATGCAAGGATTATTATTATTATTATTATTTGGTACAACATCTTATCACGTCTTCGAGACTTCTCAAAGTGCTTCACAGGATTCACTGTAAAGTGCGGAGACTCTATTTTGAAGGCACATTTGGCAGCCAATTTGTGCACAGCAATGTCCCACAAACAGTCATGAAGTGAATGATGAATTTTATCTGAGGGACTGGTGGCTAGGACATTAGGAGAGAATCCCTTCTTTTTCAAATAGTTCCATGATATCTTTAACATTCACCTGAACAGGCAGAATCCAATTGTACAAATACATGATAATGATAATTATAATAATCCTTGCATTTTGTCTTTGAGATGTTTCAAAGCACTTACTGTAAAGTGAATTGACTGTGCATTTTGTGGGCGAAACGTGAAATGATGTGCAAGAATATAATAGTGATGCACGTGGCAATCTATCTATGTGCATATACACTCACTCATGCACACCACACACACAAAACCAATGAAGATCAAAGAAAATAGTCTGAAATCTTTGGAGACATTAAGCGCCAATTTTGCACTATTTCTTAACAATATTTGATAATTAAGAAACTCCTTCCCAGAACTGTTACGTTCTGAATTGAAGGAACCCCACTCTGAAAACAGAACACCTTGAAGGGGCAATTCCAAATCTGCATCAAATGCCTCTGAATATCTTGGTTAAGATATAACACAAACTTCACCCCATTGTTTAACAAAACTCAACAGATGAGAATACTGAATTAATTTCTCCATTCTTCTAAATCAACACATGTCATTTAAGATAAGGAAACAACAACAAGTTGCCTTATATATAGGGCCCCTCACGCATGGTACCATCCCAGAGCACTAAGGAAAAAGTGCAAACTGCACAGAATGTTTACTTTCTTCAGGTAATGGCCAAATGGCTGCTCTTCTTTCGATGCTCCAGGGATTGTGAATGGAGATGCACTATGGGAGCACACATCTGAGATGGGTTTGCAGGACGAGGAGCAGAGTGAAGACAACTCGTCTGCGTCTCCTCCAGTGAGAGAAAGGCTGCTGTGCTCCGAGCTGCTAAAGCCACTCATGCTCTCTGCAGAGTTGCACTGGGAAGATGTCTCTGAACTCTCAGCTGCAGACAAAGAAAGCGGGACAGTACTTTACTGGAAGAAAATAAACACAGATTAAGACTTTCAGATACACTGAGGCAGCAGGACAAAATGGCATCAATTAGGGCTATGAAGTATTAGGGCTATGAGACCAGGAAGTATTTCTTCACATAAATCATACTTGCTGTGATTTGTTCACTTACGCCTGTCATCTGGGTCACACTCCAAGTCATCTTCATCAATGCGCATGTGCATATTATAGAAAGCCCCATTGATGAGAGCAGTGCCTCCTGAGGTGGATGGAGAAGAGGCGTAAAGGTGCATGTTGAGGGAACCGAAGCCTGAAGATGAAGAAGAAGCATGGCTGCCCGAAGAGCAGATACTGCCATTGGAGCCAGTGGAATTCGGTCTTTTTGCCTGTTCCAGAACAGCCCCAGCTAGCAGTGTTGGCATTCTGGCGTCTGAAAGATAAAAGGGGGAAAATATGTTATGTTGTCGTTGAAGTTCACTCAACGGTCTAAGTAAAATGCACGTGTGAGTCCTTTTTGCAATCGCTGGGCTGTAAATCAAAGGCATTAAAGATAAAATAATTATTGTGAGAACAAGTTTATTCCATTTAAAGACATTTGTATTTAATGACCAGTAGAGGGGGAGTGTGAGATGAAGGGATAGAAGAAGGACTAAGAGATTAAGGCCATAGTTGCTGAGACACTGATGGTGGTGTGAATGGGCAGCAGACAGGCCCAGGTTAGCCAAGTAGACGGGGGTGAGCAAGTTAGTTGAGTGGAGAGGGCAAGCAGCAGAGGCGGGTGGAAGAAAATCACCAACATGTGGAGGTGCTCGGGCCTGAAGGAACTTTAAGTGAAGACCTTGAGTTGCTGCAGCCTGGCAACCTACTTAATTCCATTGTAAATTAATATCATCCCAGTACTGTAGCATCATATGTTTCGCTAAACATATCATCACATAGTGCATCACACCCACCCCCTTTGTCAATGTGGAAAAGGACAGATCCAATCCCAAATTCCCCTGCAACCTCTCTGACAGAGCACCTGAATCCCAACAAGGTTAGAGCAAGGTCCGCTACACCAGTGTGAGAATCTCATCCGTAACACGTTGTAGCCTCTGAAAGGGGAATAGGAGCAGTTTAAGGACAGGCAAGTTTTTATGTTGAAATCATCTTCTTGATGGAGAGAAAGATTTCACTGTCTGTTTGGCCTGTGCTTAGACTCAGGCCTAAGCGTGAATAAATGCTGGGTGTTCCAGTCCAGTGCAGTCCCTCTTTAGAGGCTTGCTAACCTGGGTGTTAAACTCATACCTTTCCCTTTTGTGACGCAGTCAACCGCTCGGTCATTGATGGCCGCTTCGCTAGGTTTGATGTCCATAAAAGGCTTACAGCCAATTCCCATAAACACCCTCTCCTGCATCCGAAGCTCTAAAGAAGGAATTTCAGAATTGATAGGGACTGCTTTTATATTTGAGAAAAAAAACTAGAAAAAATTACTTAAGCATAATAATGCACTCCATGCCAGTTAGTGAACACCCTGTTATGTTCAAAGAGTTAAGTCAGGCATTGATTCATTACCTGTGTGTTCCGATAGAAAACTTTTTTTGAAAGGCTGTAGACTGTCCTTTTAGCTCAGGCATGATTCTCAGTCAATGCTATATACCTGGTTTATCTCGAGACTAGCAGATAAGACTAGAAAGAACTTGCATTTTTATGGCAGCTTGGTTTGGATACTCTTAAGCATGGTGATGGATTTCTGCACATGTCAGATATCTGACTGCCCCCCACCCAAACCCAAAATAATGGCAGCTTATCACAGCAAAATGTCTCAAACCATTCTGCAATCATTACCAGACAAGGTAGACAGAAAGGCTTCAGCACAGTGAACCTCTGGGATGAATAAAGTCCTGGGATTTTACAATGCTATGTCTTTATTAATGGACAGAGTGACAGCTCCATGCTTTATGGTCAGGTTAACACATTCAAAATAGGCCTGGAGTCATTTTTCTTGCCTTGTCCCTTTTTTCCTGAAGATAGTAAAACACGCAAGTGTGCAGATACAGACACTGGAAACCCTCCAGTCCTCCATTCTTCACGTTAGCTTGGCCAGTTAGAACTGGCACCCCGTTCAACCATGAAGGCATCATGTTAGAGTTTAATTTTGGCTTCCCCAACACCAAACAGACACAGTTGCCGCAACGATGGCTGGGTAGCAATCGAGAATGAGAAAAACTGATCATTTCCCTTTCTCCGCAGACCAGAGATGCCAAGTATAACGCCACCCATGACTGTCTCAACACAGACCAGCTAACTCACCAGAGATAAAATATCAGATATTTAGTCTACGTGGTTCAATACCACATGGTGCATTTATCTTTAAAACCATTGTGGGAATTTGATTCAGAAGATATTAAAGAAAATTTAGAGCCTGTATTTAAACAGAAGGGAGAATATAGTTAATTGCCTGCTCATTACTATTTTGAGACATAAATACAAACACTTTGCTGAGTCAAGGGAGAATATGCCATATATTATTTGCAGGGGAGAAAGGGTTAAATACGATGCAAACTTGCAAACAGAATTTAAAAGTTTCAAAGTGTTGTTAGGTGTCATCCAGATCACTTTCTCACCATAGAGGGTACAAGACACAATGCTTTTTGTTAGCAGTTATTTAAATCGACACGATTTCCTGGTAGATATCATTTTCAGAAGGCAATTGATAAAGAACATCATGTGAGATTAAAATAAACAAAATTACGATTCAGGGAAATACTTGCAAATTTTTTGGGTTGGAAAATCATCTTAGAAAGAGATTGAATTGCAGAGTTGGATTTGCTCCGTTCCCCAGATATAAAGCCACTCTATGACTTGGAAGATAGGTGACAATTATGAGGGTGAATAGACAGCATTCAAGAAGGTTCTGCATTAAGGAGAAAGCCTGAATCCTGTACTCAGTTAATCCAAACACAAGTGCGTCCAAGAAAAATCACCAAACGTATGACACTTTCCCAACAAAGTAAAAAAATGTATACAATGTAAATATTAGAAGTGTACGAGAGTATTGAATCTGAACCCTAGGATTGTTAATGACTTTCTATCTTTAGTATATATTTATTTCAGTGCATCCTTCACATTAGTTTACTGACCTCTGTTCCTCAAGGCTTGGTTCCACAGTATTCTCTCCAAGTCTTCTATCCAGGCTTGCTTCACCTCGGGAGATGGGGAGTGTAATATATAGGTATCCTGGGATTTCTGCCGCCTAAACCAAATTTCAAAGCGCAACCCACTCTCACCGGAGTTGTGCGTTATTCCTATTTCGGATGTCTAAAACATATAAGCAACACAGAGCATGCATTAAATCTAATCCATCAGGGAGAAACAAGCTTTTCATCCAAATCTACTTTGCTTGGGCTTATCCCTGGGAAAATGAAGAATTTTCACGCGAGAACGTCTAACAAATAGAATCAACATTACCTAATCAGATATTTGATGTACAGATATAATTCTATACTACATTAATGCAATTGATGTAAATGTGTTACATTACAGTGTTATCCACTTCAGGTTAGTTCAGCTTTCAGTAGCGGACAATTCTAGATTGAAAAACATTCTTAGTACCTTAAAAGATTGCTTGTAAATGTAGATGTCATTGCTTCCCTCTGTTTTCTTGGTCTTGCTGAAGAGTATAAGGTCTTCAAAGAGAAAGACGTGCCTGTACAATTTCTTTCGTCCGTACCATATGATGAATTCATCTTGACGTAAGAGTTGGCCTTGTTCCTTCAGGTTCACCTGGGAATAGATTTTCTGCCATTAGGATTCGGCTTTTTTCTGTGTTCTATCATACAGGAAGGGTTTAAATTGCAGCATAACAAATTAGAGCCAATCTTGCACATTGAGGGCTTTACAACAAGTGTTTTGTGTAATCTTCGAAATTGAATGGAAGCTCCATGTTTGCTTTTGAGCAATGAATGGAAAAGCCTTGAAAGGGACATCTCAAAGGGAACTATATAGAACTGAGTAAGATTTCAAATGACAGTATCGAAACCAGACTGAAAGGTCAACATGTGCATGGAAACTTCTCTTTGCCTGGAAACAAATGGTCCCTTTCTGTCTCTCCACAGAGGGACACACTGTGCCTACCTAGTCAGAATGGGCGGAAGTGAAGCAACACTTACATCACATTCCTGTATATCGTCCATGGCAAGTAGGTCGTTTCCATGTCGAAGCTGGAAGCGGACGATCTCATGAGCTACGAGAAGTTCCTTTCGCTCCTGGCTCTGGGCTGTCCCACACTCTTTGATCATGTCCTTCAGAAGTAAGTTGTATTTGCTGATTCTCTGGATGGGTTTCAGCAGGTAGGAAGCCAAGTCCATCTTATCTCCCAGCTCCAGCTGTTTAGACTGCCAAGGAAGAAGAAGAAGTGGGGAGGTTAACCATTTCAATGCTGAAGTTAGCCCAGTAACTTTTCAATACAAGTCTCTTGCTTCTTTAAATTCCATGCATCAGGAACCTGAATACATACCTAGTTAACCGGGCGTAATTTGAAATGTTTCACTGTGCATGCCTTCTGTTATCCTAAAGGAACACACAGTGAAACATGGCAAAATACAATTCCTTGTTACCATAAGGAATGGGTTACAAAATGCCACAAACGGTCACCCTGATTTTCTTTCAGCAACAACTTGCATTTATATAGTGTCCTTCACTAGCATCTCAGAGCAGTGGCTTGGAGGGGGTAGGCAGAAGAATGGGGCACAAGAAGATCAGAGAGGTAGGGAGTTACTGGTCGTGAAGGAAGTTATATGAGAGAACTCTGTAAAGTTCCCTTAGCATTGTAGACTTGGAGAGGAAGTGTAAAAGAGGAGCACAGATTCAGTATTCCTTTGTTATTGTTCCAACTCAGCATTTACATCAAAAGGGGTTGAATAGGGGTACGTAAAGGTGGGGGAGGGGTGTGGAGGGCTAAGCTCACAGTCCTCCTCAGGCAACTGGACTAGAGTCCATCTCAGGCTGAAGTGCAAGGGTCATGGAGTGGAAGGGTTGAAGTGAAATAGGTATGAACATCTTCACCTTAATTTGGAAGTTGATTTTCCGCAGTTCTGAAACAAAAATGCTTATAAATTAAGAATGAATTGAAGAATTTTCCGTAACATTTTGTGGAATCTTGAATCCTAAGACAAAACGGCTGTCTGTATGAAATTGGATGGAATTGTGAGCCCTGATAGTGTGATTCCAGTATTTACCCTGAAGAAAGTGTTGCCATGACTGCTGAGCAGGAAATCCGATTGAGGCTTGTTCTTGCTGTACAACGCATACAGGGCAAATTGCTCCTCCTAAGAGCGAGAACAGAGGGAGATCGAAGCACTTGTTAAAAGCACACTTGTTGACCCTTACATTATAATAATAATAATCCTTGAATTTGATATAGGGCCTTATTACATTACTGGATGTTTCAAAGTGTTTCACAGGATTTCACAGTAAGTGTAGTGACTGTATATTTGTATGTGCCACAGCCAATTCTCCACACAAACAATCCTGGAATGAACGATTCATTTTCCTGAGGGTTGTTGGCCTGGACACAGGAGAAACTCTTTTCTCTTTTCTCTTCTCTCATTGAACCATGAATAAGATCTGCAACGCCTGCCTGAGCAGGCAGACGGATCTTTGGTCTGGAGGAAGAAGGCTCTCAGCCCACCCGATCTCATCACTCCAGAACCCCGCTCACCCCCCACCACCATCACAGGATCAAGCTGTTTTGTTAAATGAGCGTGGTAATGGGTTTCCGCGTGCTTCACACACCCAGCTGACCAATAACATCAATAAATAATGATAATAATCCTTGCATTTGATGTAGCACCTTGTCAGGTCTTTGAGATGTCTCAAAGCCCTTCACAGGAAACACCGTAACATAAACTGACTGTATATCAATCTGGAGGGTAACTCACATATCTGAGGAAGCTGTGGCCGACGCTAATGGGATCTTGTACACAGGCCTCCAGCTCCTTCAGAAAGTACTGGCTGTGGAAGTCATGCAGCTTCTCCAGGTTCCCAAAGATGGTCGCTCGCTGGCCCCGGAGGTCTTGGGGCAGATCTGGCCGCTCCATTTCGGGGAAGTAGTGAGCGATGATGTAACCGAGAGAGCGCACGTACTTCCTCTCTGTGATCAGCATCTCCTCCATGATTCGCTGCAGTTTAGTGCTTGAAATGACCAAGAGACAAAGAGGGAGCAAGAATAAGTCTCGATGTGACAGTGACTCAAACACAAAGAGTGTAAACCTAGACTCTCCATCTACAAGTGTATTATTGTGTGTATGTATGTTCTGCTCTCACCAGCAATGTCTTTTTGTTTCTGTCGTTGGTTCCTGGATCGTCCCAAGTAACAAGTTTGGTCCTTGAGTCTGGCTCAGCATTGGGCTGACATGGGGAGAGGGGTAATTATTGTTGTCGACCAGCTTAGTGTTCTTAGGTCCTCCGTCTTCAGAGCAGAAACTCTGGTGCCTTGACAGCTGAAAGCCTTGTGCCGCCTGCATGATCTTTCTGGAAGGAAAGCTTTTGCGTCGGATAGGAGGAGAAAAGATGGCATCTGTGTAAGAGGGCAAAGAACAGAACTGTGTTCCACTATCTCTGTTCAACCCTTGCGATGCACGGAGCCACAGGGGCCAATTAAAGGTTGAAGAGATTATCGGTATTCCACTTGATGAATGAACCACATCTTGCGTACTGGTTGTGTTTTCGTTATAGTTATGAACTCTCTTCATAGGCTGGGGCTGATTGTCTTTCTCTCTCTTCCAACTTACATCCTCTGGAGTTATGGAGTCACCAGAGTTATTAATGGAGTTTGTAGCTGGGTTATCACTGCCCTCTTGGACCTTGTCCCCTGGTGATTTCTTGTCACCAGTGCAATGATCGTTACCATCTCTTAAAGCCTTCCTGCAAATCTCCAGCTTTTCTTCCAGGAGTTGCCTGACCTCCTGACACTTCAGCCAGGTCATGTTCCATACCTTTGTGCCCTTGGTGCTGTTCAGGCCGGAAATCCGGACTTTCGTCTGCTGGAACTTGTCCTCAGAGAATTCTCCAAACCTCTGCTGGTAACCCTCGAGCTGCTGCAGCACGGCCGATCTGGGCACTTTGGGCATCCCGACGTCCAGCTGCCTGAGGTAGTGCTTGCACTCCGCTGCAAACCGTGTCGCCTGAAATAGTATGAGGCGATCCGAAATATTAGCAATGCACTTCCAGAATAAACGTCATCAAAATACCACATGGGAGGTGATCATAATATTCTAAAACATGTAATTATTAACATGCGTTATTATATAATGCTGCCAAGGGGAGTGAGACTGGCAATAAGAGCTAAGACAAATGCTGAGCCCACGTTACCACACGTAGTCAAAGTTATTACATGTGCAGCAAGTAGAATTTCTGACTTTCAGTTCCTTGCGTGTAGACAGTATGTTGTATATCAGCCAACAGACAACAACATCTCCAATGCAAGGATTAACACCTGGGAATGAACATACAGACAGAAAAACAAATGAGCTGTGGTAAAACCCACAATCACTGCAGAGTGTGACTGGGGGAACAATAATGCCCCAGCCAAGCATTACTGTTTGACTCACAATAAATGGAACAATAAACTTTTTATTAGAGACAGTCACAGTCCTGTCTCGTCAATGCTCTTAAAAAAAATTAACCAGAATTCGGCATAGCTTAAAGGAATAATTAGCATTAATTAGCTCCATCTGGAGAGAAACCTCCTCAGATCTGCCTGATTATTGTTGAGATGGCCAGCAACACTGGTGTTTTTATTTAATCGGAATCTCTGATACTAGATCTCTGATCGATCGCTTCCGTGGTATAAAAGCAGCATAAGCTTCCTGCTGAGCACCAGGCCCCAGGTACAGACCTGCTCACAGAAGGCGTACAGATGAACCAGGGCCTCCAACTCCTCTTGACGTCTCTTTGCTCTTGTTTGAAGATTATTCATGCGCACTTTGAAGGTTTCCACCATTTCCCTGAAGGCTGGAAACTCAGGATACGATGAACCGTTCAATTGATCAGCTTCTCGGAGCAGCTCTAAACCCTTGTGGTATTCTTTCTATGGTTTGAATGGTGATAAGGTTGAAGAGAAGTAGACCACATACTGGTGCATTCAAGCCAGAATAAATCAGCTTTATATCAGCAGAAGGATATGGGGGTGACCTGATAGAGGTCTTCAAGGCAAGGAAGGGTTGGGAAACAGTAGGTTATTTCCACTGTTGGGCAAGTCAGTAAAAAAAAAGGCATACATTTCAGATAATAAAAAAAGACAACAAAGAGGGTAGGTTAGAAAACAGAGGGTTGGTTGGAATGTGAAACTTTCTCACTCAGGCGGAATTTCAACCAGTGTATATGGATACAAAGGTAGCACAAAAGCAATTGAATAAGTGAAATTATGATAATAAGCCTTGCATTTGACATGGTGTCTTATCGTGTCTTTGAGACGACTCAAAGTGCTTCACAGAATATACTGTAAAGTGAATTGGCTGTATATTTTGTGGGCAAAATTAAGTGAGCGGCAAAGAATTTGCTTCAAACAAAATCAGTGTTTCATAGAATCTTACAATACAGAAACACATCTGATCCATCAAAACTTCGCCGGAGTTTTTCTCCATTTGAAGAAGGGTCCATCTGTTATTTTAATGGGAAATTTAACAGATGCTTGAAGAAGAGGAAGATTAAGGGTACGAGGATCGTGTAGCAAAATAGCGTGAGAATGGCTCATATGGGTTGAAATTTCACCTGGGTCGAGACTTATTCTATTCCTTGGCATTTCAGAGCATCCAGACTACGACAATTTCTTAAATCCAGTCTTAATTTAAAACTTACACTACTACACCCCGAAACTCTGAAACACTCTACCTGTATCCCTTCACCTTGCTACTCCTTCCCCATTTTCGGTCGCGCCTGGAGACTTTCCTCTACTACAGTACCTAGGGTCACCTTTCACCCTCTCTAGCACCCCAGCTCTGTGTCATGTTCCGCCACTGTCAGGGGCTCCGGTTATGCTACTCTGCATGAGGGGCGCTGATATGAATGCAAGTTATTGTTAATTTTGAAGTTTCTTTTTAGGAAATTGCAGAAAACAGGCTTCATAATTAAGACTGAATTCATCAATTTGCAATATTCTGGACACTCAAGAATACTTTTAAATTTTCTCCCCACTCAGAGTATGAACTTGAGGAGAGATGTGACTGTAGCCCAATAAATGGTAAAAGAGATGACTTACTGTGACCAGCGAAAAGAGGTCACTGAATCTTTGCTGTGTTTGCTGTATGGCATCGAGAGAATCTTCACTGGAGTCAGAGTCCTTCACACAGGATTCACCTTCAGAAAGAATCCAGTCGTTGAGCTGCACAGAAAATGAAGGAGTGATGAAGAATTACCTAGTTATTGAATTTACTGTCAAAGTCTAAATTAAATTAAGTACATTTTAATCAATTTTAATGCACTTTGCTTCTGGTTTTAATAATGTGTGAAATGATAATGAGCAATATTATAATTTAACATCATTATGGGTTGACTTGAAAGAGCAATTCTGGACTATTTTATGCAACAGCAGCACAATTTGGATTAATAAGGTGCAGTCACTGTGAAAGCATATTAGGAGTTGTCAAAGCTCCTTGGCTGATCTGTGCCATGAACTCAAAAAGCCCCTTCTCTCATCCAGCACTTTCAGCCTTCCCTCACTCACCCTCTAAAAACACTGCATTTCTAAACATTTGCTTGGTTATTGTCCCTACACAAAATCAGAAAGAATTCTATTACCCTCACAAAATACACATAGTCCATCGCTTTACAGTAAACTCCCGTGAAGCACTTTGAGACGTCTTGATGGCATAATAAGGGAGCTATATCAAATACAAGGATTATTATATTTATTAGTTTTATTGTTTTTTTAACAGGGATTCATAAAAAAATAATTTTTCCTTTTCACATCTTGGGAGGCGAGCACTCTAATCTCTACGCTACGGGACTCCACACAATTGAATTCTGTATTTCTTGCCACCTTTTTTTCCTATTCATTCTTATCCTTTATAGTCTTTTGATCTATTTACTTGGCTTTCACCTGTAAAATACTATGGTATTTTTTTCCCCCTTCAGTCAATCTGTGTTTAATAAGAGTAGAGATGCTATTTCTACTTCTGCTTTTCGGCTTCCTCATTTTTCAAGCGCAAGAGACAAATGGATTAGAAAAATACTACATCTCTTTGAAATGACAAGCAGTATGTGCGGGCTCCAACCAATCACACAGTCGTGGCCTTGTGGCCTAATCGTGTGTGGTCCTGGGAGTGTGGATATATGGGTGAGTGTCAATCTCCAAACGGGCAAAATTATCAAGACGAGGGATGAGGGTGTTGAGATTGGAACATTTTTCACCCATTGTAACCAGCGAGAGTGTTTCATCAGTCCAGTGTGACACAGGTCAGATGCAATGAAAAGCTCATCTCTCAACATGCCCAAACTTCGACAGAAATCTGATCTGGGTTGTCCTTACTAAACAATCCTTCAGGATGGTTCTGAGAGAAGCAATGTCAGTCAACTGAGTTCTATTCACAGTACTTATCAGTTTCTAAGCCCAAAATGATACACGCTAGAGAAATGTGAACTTTGATGCAGTTGCACTGCTGGCTGCAAAGTGACCTGAGAAAAGTCACTATTGTCGTCAAGACTGTAACCTACATGCATTAACCAGTTATGTTATTCAGAGATTTTTTACTACTGTAGCAATATTTTTGTTGTATCTCAAAGAATAAACAGGAAAGTACAGTCAATTTTTCACAATGCAGATGAATAACTAATGCCAGACCTTTTGGATTTTTTCCTCCAGCGTCCTCAGAACCTTTAAGAACTCTAAGTGCTGCAAACACCAATTGGACTTTGTCACCAGCGTATGGACACCCTCCTCAACCTTGTTGTAGAGAGATGTGACTGAATCCATAGCGTCCCTGAGTTGGAAGAGTGGGTAGTGTTATAGATCCATTCAGAATCCAAGTATGTATGCAAATGCTATATCAGTGTAACTTTTACATAGAATCATACAATTATACAGCACAGAAGGAGGCCATTCGCCCCATTGTGCTGGCTCTTTGAAAACAGCTATCCAAATCAATTCCTCTCCCCCGCTCTCTCCCCATAGCCCTGCAAACTTATCCTCCCCAAATAATTATCTACTTCTCTCTTAAAAGTTGTTATCAAATCAGCTTCCACCACCCTTTCAGGCAATGCATCAATACCTTTACAATGTAATATTGAGACAAGCCAATGTAGTAGGAAGCTTGCCATACAGTTCTCCAACCTGTACCTAATGCATGTCGGAACTAGGTAAGCAAGATATGTCCCTCCAGGCAGAGAGTGTGCATTCCATTCCCGGTACTGGGAAATTTCTGGACACTTGGCTGACTCCCCAAAAGATAGGTTCGTACCTATAGTCCTCAGAGAAGGCAAACCGAGTTTCTTCTCTCTTCAGTCGAGACAGGATTGCTCCACCTTGCAACTGCAAACCAACCAAACGTGAATCTTGTAGGACTTGCCTCATCATCATCTTGTGGTTACTGATACAGTGAAGGACTGCCTGTCAAAACAAAAAAAAACAAAGAACTTTCAGCTCCAGAAGGGAAACCACCACAAAATAATAATCTGGTAAAGTCGCCTGTAGCATTGGCTCCGGAGAGCAGCTGATCAGGGGCTAAACTGCAGACTGGAGTCACTCACACAGCAATGCGAGGGTCAAAAACATGTAATCTGATGATCAATTCTCATCCAAAACATATAAGATTGTTCACAGGTGAAGGGGTGGATACTGACTGCTTATCCATTTTCCCCCATAATGCTGCCTTGAACCACCTACTCAAATCCTCTGGACAGATGATATGATCAATTTAGTGGAATCACATCTGAACGCATAACTGAGAGTCGCTATTGAACTAACATTTCAACTTTAAAATAAAAAGTAAACTTTCCTCCAAAAAAAAACCCTGCACTGCCTCATTCAGACTGACCTGGATCTGTCTCGCTTTAATATACAAATGTATTTCTTCCAAACTTAGGAGGATAAAAGTTACAGCAAACAACATACAACTAGAATAATTGGTGAATTTTTGAGCCAATCTATCTATTGACCACCATTCCTCCCAGTATAGATGCAAATACTTGGTCCATCCCAATATTATCTTCTACAAAATACAGTCAATCACAGAATATCCTGCAAAATGCTCCAAGACATCCTCCCGACATGAAAGCACTCTACAAAATGTAAGGATTATTATTAAGAACATGCAAAATCCTTAAATTAAGTTTTAATTTGGAGTCCGATTCTTTTGAGAACTGTGGGAAAAAGGTCTTCCAAATTACGACTGAATTTAAAAATGTTTGCAAAAACGTTTAAAAAAAAGTCATTGAAGATTATTCCACTTTTTCTGTTCTCTCCTTCATCCTTGCTTGACCTGTACCTGCACACTGATACCAGGTTTAGTGGATTCAAATGTTCTAATGGTCTCCAAAAGTAGGCTGGACGCATCTATGCAGTTTCTAACGAACAGCTCCAATTTCTGCAAAATAAACCACATAGTTTGTATTTAACAAACATCCTTTGTAAAGATTACTCAACGCAACAGTCATGCAAAATTGGTTCAGCATCTTTACACAAATTGCACCTTAGATATGAGAAGCTAACAAATAATTTAACTGCCATCCTGGTTCAGTTCAGAGTATTCACCAGTTAGAAGGTTGTGGGTTCAAGCCACAAGTTGGTACATTTGAACCAGTTTAGGCTGCTTCTAAAATGCAGTACCTGGAGGTTTAGCATTGATAGAAGGGCCATCCTTCGGATGAGACCATGAGACCAAGGTTTAGTCGGCCTATTCAGGTGGGCGTTAGCAATCTCATGGCACTATGGAGTTTCTCCCAGTGTCCTGGCCAACAATCCCCCAAACTTCAGGAGTGTTTGTGGGCCATTCCTGTGTACACATTGGCTGCCAAATTTGCCTACAAAATGCACAGACACTACACTTTACAGGATATCCTGTGAAGGACGTTGAGATATCATCCCAACATGAAAGCTGCCATGTAAATAAAAGCTGAGAATCTCTTGACTGAAATCTGTCTGTAAAACCAGTGAAATTGTGCATGGAATACTCGATGAATGGCCTTTGCATTGGTGCCAATATTCTGTTCCCTCTGCTTAGGGCTGCAATAGGAAGAGAACCCTTGCCAGCTCTGTTCCTTTCAAATTGATTAACATTTGTTCTTGAAGTCGTGACGGATTTGTTCGAACCCAGAAAATGCTTACACGCCACTTTCCCCAGAAAACCATTCTGGGAAACACGTTTGCTTCAGTGCCAAAGAAGCCCCCAATTCAAACTGGTCTTAGCCTTAAGAGCTTTGTGCTTTAACATTTAAGATGCGCAAAAAAATCAGGGAAAAAAATGAATTGAGAAGAAAGGGGATTTTTCGAAGGTTCTTAAGAGAAACCAGATCCAAATTTTAGGATGTTTCTACAATTTTGCACAATTTCAAATTTTAAGGCAAAAGGGTTCTGCAGGCTGAGAGCAGGAGGTATTTAAAGCACACTCGAGATTGCAAGGTCTGGTCTTTGAATCCGACTCAGGGCATCCACTCAACCCTTTACCCTTTGAAGATGAGCAACCTATTCAAGAACAGGTAAAGCTGTGCAGGTTTGCAGGATATCAAAGGTAGACCTTCAAGTGCAGGGATGTCCACAAGCCAAATTCCTAAGGGGTAGAAGGTCCCAAGCTGGACAAGTATCAATTATTCATGACCTTGGTCTGAAATACGAGTTGTAGTGGAAGTTACATCAGGAACTATGCAGTATCTTTCAAAGAAGATTTAAAAGGGATGTTGTGTTAAAGGGAAAGACTTTCTGATTCCAAGAGGCATGCTACAAACATAAAAATGCCTATGCACACAGGAAGGGCTGACAGCTGAAAAAAATAAACATGCTATTGGACACCTCACCAATTATCCTGAAAGCCTGGCAGCAGCTAAAACCATAGGGACCAGTATCTGAGAGCAGGGTAAGCCATGTTGATGGTGGTGGAGCCAATTTATTTGTCCAGCAACTCAGTGAGACACAGTTCTGTATAAACTAAATGGTTCTCACAAACTCCTTTCACAATGGTACACAGCACAAGCCTGTCATCCGGTGGCAAAAATGCAGTATCGCAATGTTGTTTTTTCATTCATTCAGAGGCAAGGGAATATTTAGGCCCCTCGGCCTTTAAGTAGGATTGTGAATTTCGGGGTAGGTAAGAACTGGATCATAGCATAGTCCCACAGCATACAAGCAGTACAGTGAGTCCAGCCCGGGAATCTTGCTTGCAAGGCGAGCACACTGACCCCAATGTTACGGGAGTGTGGATTCATTGTGAGCTGGGCTGTAATTTCAAGTCCTTGCAGGCCCTCCATACAGCAATTTCCACTGGGGAAAAAACTGTAAATCACAGGGAGCAAAGTTATTTCAGAGCCTGGATTACATCAATGGGAGAGCAGATGATCTGTAATTTATACATTATTACTGAAAACGTAATCATATTTTTACAATAAACAGATGTTCCAAAACTAATAGCAATTTCAGACCCTAAATAGGTTGCTCAAAAGTCAAGCAGTATTTTTTTTTGGTCTCTCCGCTCAATTCTCTGTCCCACACAAATTAAATGCAACAACAAAAATGTACATTTATATAGCACACCTAATGCAGGATAGCGTCCCAGAGGGCTTGGTACATTTTACAATTTACTTTAATGCTGTTTAGGATATTTATTAGACCTCAACATTAAATGACAGACAATTAAAAGTGGCACAAATTAATGCTGGATACTGGAATTTCCTGTTATAAACGCATGTGGTAGTAAGTGTAGTAAATGTAACAGCCGGAGATCACTCCAATCTATGAATACGGAATTCTCTATTAAACCAACTAAAGTGCAGTGGCCTGAAATTGTCCTCACCATACGAAACTGAGTCCAGTCAGAGTGGCTGTAAGGAAATGTCCCCTCCAGGTCCTCTGTCAGCTGATTGCTCTCGATGAACTTGTGCAGGGCTTTCAAGGATGTCAAAACCTCCATCTGAATATAGCAAACAATATAGGTCAGACTGTCCCAAATACATCAGACATAACTACTTTCAATTCACTAGGGATTGACTGTCCTTCATCTTCGTTCTGCCAATTGGTTATGTCAGTGTTTTAATGGTGTTTTTAACAGTGTGAAAGGCACTATGCAAATGTAATTTTGCATTGTATTGTTTAAACTATTATTGATAACACAAGGGTTAAGTATCACTCCAATAGTAGAGATGCTATCGGAATCCAAGCATTTAGACCTCAAAATTGTGAGGAAAAGCAGAGGAAATTGCCGAAGAGGCACAAACAGGATTGGGAAAAGCTAGTGAGGTTTCAATGAAAATGTTTAAATTCAATTGGTGCAATTTTATTTTTATTGCAACCAATGTTACAGAGCAAGGCAAACCCACTTCCTGATTCAATCTAATTGTCTAAAAGGTTAGCTAACACTTACCACTGTCCCGGGATATTTCTCCACCTTAAATGATGCCTCTTTATCTACTAGTATTAGGACACAGTGAATGGAGTGAGGGACAGATTCCTGCAGAACGAAACATCAAAGTAGTTCAAACAGATGAATAACAAATCTATACATATATTTATAATAATAATCCATGCATTTGCTATAACGCCTTATCATGTCTTCAAGACGTCTCAAAACAAATCACAGAATATTCTGTAAAGTGAATTGACTGTGTTTTATATATTATATATATCATACAATAACTCCACAAATTGTCCAGAGGACCTTAGAAATCCCATCTTGGAAATAATTAAAGCAATTTGATTTGAAAGACCTCTCCATTATTAGAAATCTAGGTCCATCCATTTCGCCTTCCACCATCCTGGCAGTCGCTTGACATGTCATGTCCCAAATTACATATTGTACCCGAGATAATGAGGATGATCATAGTCTGCCATCATGTTGGATATTCTCATTAGTACTAGTCACGGATTTGAATGTTAAAGTATTATTGCTCTATTGATTCATCCATCTATTCTCTTGAATAGATGTAACATAATGTAATTGTGGATTGTTTAAGATCACTGACTTGTACCCGTTTACATTTAATGAATTTTACCTTGGATAAATGAGTTAAAATGAATTAATTTATTAAGAAATTAATTTACTAACATAGCATTTCAGAGCATCAAGAATTTGGCAAATTCTTAAACATGTTCTGTCATATTGAAGCCATTTTTCTATAAGCTTCTTCCAACAACTACAGAAAACGCGCTTCGAAAGTTAAAACTGAATTCAGCGGTTTGCCAAATTCAGGACGTTCAGAAATGCTGCTTTAATGTAGTAAATCTACACCTGGGTGGAATTCTACCTCCATGAAAGTCCGTGGCTGAACGTAACAATTCTCACCTGCATTGACCCAAAAGCCTTATAAAGTGCGAGAGGAGGTGGGCATCTTCTGGCATCCACAACAACCATCAGCCCCAGTTCCCTAACCTCCTTCCTGTGATAAGAAATATGCACAATGAAAATCAAACAATGCAATTCCTGAGAGCTTAAAGTAAGTCAACCACATTATACTGCTATCTGCTGCTTCAGTGTGAAGCGCTGATTTGCCCACAAAAAACACATTCACTGCACTTTATTGCGTATTTTGTGAAGCGTTTTGAGCCGTCCTCCCAATTTGCACAGAACAACGGCAGTTGTACTCTACAGAATACAGAGTACAACTGTTGAACTCACATTGATTCAATGTGAGAGCTAGTGGAAACGGCAGTTTGACACACGTTCGCTGCATATCAGCTACATATCGATCGCATGCCGTGTTTCTTTAATCACAATGTAAATTATGCTTTTTATCACCAGTAGGGGTCAGCATTAAACAGTCAACTTTGTCAAACATAGCAAACAGTGGTATGGTTTCAAAAAAACAGAAACAGAGGAATGTTGGAAAGCGTATCAATAGGCAACACAATCTATCTCTGGGATTTCCATGTGTAGGTGGGATGCATAGAACCCTCAGCTTGGTTTGGATACTCTTAAACATGGTGATGGGTTTCCGCATGTGTCAGACACCTAACTGACCCCCCACAAAAGTGCCAAAAGCTACAGAACAAAGCACTTCTCAGCCTTCTTACCGACTTTGGTGCATTTTAAATCATTTGCCTTGAGGAAATCCAACCGAGCCTTTACAGAGATCACTTTGTGTGGCATTTGTTAAGAATTGGATGCAAGAAAGAAGACTAGAAGGCTGTGCTAGGAATGAGTACAAGTTGGTGGTTCCACCCTAACCTGACCTCAATCAATTCATTTCATACCCAGATCCAAGCCATTGAAAACATTGAGCCTAAGTCAATAGTGCAAGTGCGAACCCGTGTCATTTCCAAGCTTTGTTGAGTTTCTTGAATAACTCTGAGCTATTTTGCATAAATATCAAAACTATGCTCAAAGCATGTTGCTAAAAGTTTTGCAGATTGGTCTGATCAAGACAGCCAAACAAGAGGAGTCAGCTTTTTTGCTTCAATAATAAATTAACCTCAGGCACCATCATGATTTATTTAAATGCGTTAGCCCCTCTCAACTCACGATGATCAGTTATACGTTGTTTTGCAAAGACATTTTTGTCTCGGTGTCAGAAAATTGTGGGTTCAAGCCCCACATCGGGATTTTGAGACTTACAGTCCAGGCTGATATTCTATGCAATATTAGAGTTGTTATCCCTCATATCCCATGATGCTAAACCAAGAATGTTAAAGATCCCATGGTGCTATTTGAAAAGAGAAAGGAGTTTTATTCTGGTGTCTTGGCCAACAATGCTTCAGACAAAACAATTAATCACTGAGTTCATGGCTGTTTGTGGGACATTGCTGTGTTCAAATCGGCTGCCAGGTTAACCTGCAAATGCAGTCAACCTGCTCAAGCAACCACCTCCATTTAGCAACTACCCCTTATTACCAACCACACCAGAACAGCCTCTTTAGTGTGCATTCACGAACCATTGAACACTTACTCAGAGGCCACCTTTATATAAAGGCCACATTGACCCAGTCCCCTGAGTGGTTGTTGAAGACAGGTTTGACTGTATGCTGTCACTACACTTTACAGAAACCTCTGTGAAGTGTTTTTCGAGGTGATATGGCGGAATGGAGGTATTATTAATTAACAACGTGATGAAAAATCTGTTTGCTCCCTACAAGCTAGTACTGCCTTTCTGTTCTCAATGAAGGGAAGAGTGGGAGTCAATACTCTGAATGTTGATACAATGATGGTCAATATGGTGAATGTGTCTCACCTGGGAACACTGTGGAAATACAGAAACAATCTGGTGAGGTCAGCAATGGTGCAGGTTGGCTTCTGCCACACTCTGTTGTTGGTGCAGACTTGCAACACAGCTCTCCCTGCCTTATCCCTGCTTCCTGAAAAGATCAACAAAAAAAATACCACTCAGTTAGCTCATTGTGCACGAGTCATCCACCTCACTCCATGTTACCGTTGGCTCTCTCAGTGGAGCTCGATAGGAAATATATATTAACAGTGCATGAGCTGGAAACTTCCTGATATATGACCACTCCTTCAGTCAAGACACATCTAATATGAGCCAATCAAATATTTGCAGTATTCCCTTATCTGTTGTAGTGTTTTAGTTACATAGTTTTGCACACTAAGATTCGTAGTGTACGACAACAACTTGCACTTATATAGCACCCTCCACACAGGGCAGCGTCTCAGAGAGCTCAACTGTGGCAGAGCCTGACTCTAAGCTGTGGGCGGGAGGAAGCTTTTCAGGAGGGTCTTAAAAAAAAGGAAGAGAGGGGGGCAAGGCAGAGGGATTGAGGGAGAATGTTCTAGAGTTTTGGGGCATAGTGGCTGAAAGCACGACCACCGATGGTGGGACGAGCAGGTGGTCGGTGCCAGTCGAGCGGAGGCGCTGGGTGGTGGATTGGGGAGTGAGGAGGTCGGAGAGGTGCCAGAGAGTGAAGGGATTTGTGCAATGCACTGATTAACTGAATACAAAACAGTAAACTTGATGTGTTTAATGGGGATGAGGGCCATAATTTGCAAACTAGAGGCCATTGCACGTACTGTGATTTCTGTTTTGTGGCTGAAAGTTCGGAATTCGCATTTAAGAAAAATGGTTAAAAATCATGACCTTGAAGGTTGTTATACTTTTTGAGTTTTCGTTGGACTTTTGGGGAATTTTCCAGGCCAAAGATAAAAGCCAGTGCTGTGACTTCCGGTTCAGAACACCGCTGTTGTCATGGGAAAAATCTTTAGATGGGCACAGTGCAGAAATCCAGCCTCTCCGCCTCCACACAACTCCCTCTACTGTTCGCTATGTTTATTATTATTATTCACTATCTGCTCACTGTGTTTATTATTTATTTTCACATCACCATCTATTTTTTTTTGACTGTTGTTTGCACTTCTTTTTCCGTGTGATTCAGGTGACATAAAGAGACTGCAGGTGCTATTTGAAAGATTTGTGGAGTCTTTCTCCTGCTTATCCTGGCTCACTTACCCCTCCATTTATCTGAGTGCTGTTGAAGGGATTTGCTGGCACAATTTGACTACATAGTAAAATTCACTTTAATTTCTAATCAACATTTTGTAAAGCACCTATTTAAGGCATATATTTAATCTTTAATATATAAATCTAATCGATTATTATTACCGTATTATAAATACCATATAGTTCTCTAAAATCCTTCCACCACAACAAAGTTTTTTTTTAAGAAAAAGGACACATGGTATACAGACCCAAACAAAATGTAATTAAACAATTGATTGTACGATGTCCCTCCAGAAAGAGAGTGCACGTTCCACTCCAACAATCTATCGCTGGAATTTCCATGTACAAATGGGATGCATCGAATTTTCAGTTTGGTTTGGATACTGACAAAAAAACAGCTGTTATTTGAAATGAAATTTTATTGCACTGTAACATTTTCCTCAATCAATACATTCGATCTGCTAATGATGTACAATATTTGCCAAATGACACGTTCTGATAGATCTCAACTGGTTGAGAATTAAAGAGGCATTGAGACTGGCAATGTCTCTCTTACTGGCCAGACATTCCTAGCAAGCTATTCCCTTTAAATCTCTATGCAACACTTTATTCTGCGGATTGACATTGACAGATGGGAGAAGTCATACGTGTGTGTTGTTCAGAACTGAAACCTGGTGATTTACCTGGCAAACAACCAACTTTTGAATTGAGAATATCATTGCTAAAATCCAGCAATCGGGAAGAAAACCTCTTCTGGTTACGTTCTGATAAGAGAAAATCACCAGTTGGCAAGACAACTTCAGCTCCTTGTCCCAATAAGATGGGGATTTCTGACCGAACTCTGATTTCTGGCCTGGAATCTACAGGGAGGGGAAAAAAAGAAACATGTATTATCCTCTTTAACCCTGCTTTTGGTCATCGCTCCCCCATTGTCCCATTAGCGCCCACCCCCACCCCAAGCCAGGAATATAAAGCATCTTGGGACGTACTCCTGACATGAAACACGCCATACAAATGTAAAATTGTATTGCATCTGACCAACTGCAGGTAAAACTGCAGGAAACCAATTCATGAGAGATGGTTGAGTTCAAAGTGTGGAAAGTGAAAGGGCATCAGATCTTCACCTAATGGTATGTGTGGAGGATCAGCAGTCACCGCAAGACAAATAATACAATACAACAGCACACTAGTTCAAATCAACAGGCTGCACTGCAAAAACTCACCACCTATCACTGGCCAATGATAAGACCGTCATCAGCAGAAGGAATCTGGCGAAAAGTAAAATAAGGTCATCTTCACAGTTTGCTTATAACACAACTTCTGAGCTGTTAGACTCAAAGGTCCATGTTATAAAAAGGTTCTATTCCCTTGTGCTATTGCACAGAAAGAGACTGCTAACAAGAAAGAGAATGTTTTTTATTTTCATTCATAGTGTCTTCGATGATTATCAGCAGTAATCAAAGTGCTCCGAGACACTATCCCGTGTGAAGGGCGCTTATATAAATCCAAGTCATTGATCTGCTTGTGAATAATGAAATTCTGCATTATGAGTGAGCCCTGTCTTTAGATCTGACAGTCCCTTTAGGAACATTTAATATATTCCCCGATAGGAATATTTAAATGTTTCTCACTCATTTTCACAGATCTTGGGGTGGGTTCGTTTAATATTTTATTGAGAAACACTGAGCAAAAAAATCCACCCAGTCTTAGTCTGCAAAGCCATTGACCACAACTCCTAAAAAGAAACCAGCTTCCAAATTAAGAATTGTGCATAATTCTGCACGACCTTAAATTTTAAGGCAAAATACCTTACAGGTTAAGACCGGGTGTTATTTTGGGGACTCGGGATTGTGAAGACATTTGTAAGCGTCCGTGACAAGCATTGATGTGCGCTCAGCCTCCGTACTCAGCATGCAGTTAGCTGCCACCTCCACACTGTCGTTCAATGGTGCATATTAGAGAGGAGAATAGACGAGCTTATTACACGCTCCTTAACCTTCATCACTGAATGCTACAGTGACAGTACTCTGGGGATTTATCACGTATAAGAAGTGCATTCATCAGCCCAAAAACCCGCAGGATGGCGAGAAGATCATTGGAAAACTGCCAATATGTGTTATGAATCCTCATTATATCTTTTGCTAAAGATTTCTTTATGTGCCAGCTCAAACAACGAGTAACAGCAGGATATTTGAGTGCAGAGAACATCGCTGCCAAGACTGATCCTATTTTCACATGACTTCCACACACACACACACATTTCCCTCCAGTCATTGGATAATGATCAGCGTTCAGAATCCTGGCCTGGTGTTTTTTCCTCCTAATCCATAGGCTACAAGGCCATTTGCACTACAATTTATTTTCAGGTACAACAAGATGTAGAACAAGAGGGCATAGGATCAGAGTTACAAAGGCAAACACCAGGACGGACATACATAAGAAGGGCAGTTTAAGCCAGGGCTCAGTTAAAAAAAAGTAAGTACATTCATTTGAATAAATAAAAGAAAAGTAAATAAATTTGGTCATTCAATCTACAACTGTTTGTGGACACTGCTCTGCACAATTGGCAGCCAAATTTCGCCCACAAAATACAGTCGATCCACTTTACAATATGCCCTGTGAAGCCCTTTGAGATGTCTCAAAAACATGTGCACAGCAATTATATAGGGATAGTGTATGTGTTCTTGAGCTCCCAGTGTATGTTGCACTATTGGTAATGTAATGCCAACCGTACTGAAAATAATCAAGCACTATTTTTATAGTTGTTTCCATAGAGCTTGAATAACTCCCATTCCTTCTTGTTTGACATAGGAATTTAGAAGCATCTGTAATGGGGATAACATGTCCACAACTACCAAAAATAGCCTAAAATCAGGAGCCACAAAGGTTGGTAAAACTTCTTCTTGGTAAAAAAGTATTTGCTGAATTCAGTGACACACATGGAATAGTTCTCCATGACGCTTCACTGAAATAAACGCTCTGCCCAATAAGGCACCGAGTCTCATGGACCAGGAGGTCCCCAGGTTTGATTTTTGATCTTTTCTGAGCTAATCGATGGGATAATTGGCCACAGCGAGAGAATAGGAAAAATATTAGCGATGGTTCCAGCTTCATTGATCCCTGCTGGACAGCAGACATATGTGGCCATTGAGTGAGGACAGGATCAGGCTTAGCTTCAATGCAAACACTGATCTTCTACAACAACCACAGTTTGCACTTATATTGTGCCTTTCACACAGGGTGAACGTCTTGGTAAAAGGATTTATCACAGGATTTACTGTAAAGTGCAGTGACTATATGACAACTTACATTTTTTATGAATAATTGGATACTTTGGGGGCAAATGCAGCAGCAAATTTGCATACAGCAATGTCCCACAAAGAAGCCATGAAGTGAATGTCTAATTTTATCTAACTATTGGCAACGACAACAACATTGTACCCTAGCACGATTTATTTCCTAGTCTGGAGATACCTGTGCATATTCTGTGAAGTGCTTTGAAACACCTCAATGGCATGATACGGCGCTGTATCAAATGCAAGGATTACTATTATTATTATTATACCTCCACCTGCAATATGTTTAAACCCCATACTTAGATCAGAAGCAAACTAAATCTGTAACTCACAGTTTTTAATCACTGCCCACTCACTGCTAAGATAACCGCACTTCCAGTTTGTACTCCTTTTATGGCTTGAGTCTCATTGATTGAGAAATAGATTAACCTCCGAGGAATCATTTTAGTTATGTTCCTTATCCAATTTCAGAGAAGAGAGACATTGAACTCATCTAATCAAAGCATCTCTTCACCGTGAAATGGGACAGTGTTTTTACTTAACCACTCTGCACTATCTAATTTACTCAGTTTGTTATTAATGTGACATTCCATAGAGTTATAATCGCTTGTAACTGAGCAGATATGTAGCAAAATAAATAGTAATCTATAATCTGCTTAACAGGAGTTGCCTCAGAGCAACTATAATTATTTATCATTGGAATGCTTGGAACATAAACATCATGCTCTGTCTGATAGATCTATGATATCGAGTTAGCTGGGGCAAAGGATGTGTTAACCTCTTATTTATTCTTCATCTTCTTTCTATCTATTACTCAAGGGTGCACTTGAGTGTGTGTGTATGTGTTTGCGTATACATGGGTTTCGGTGTGCACACTTGCAATGCTTTTCTATGTATGTGTGTGCTTGTATGCGCATGTGGGGGTTTGGGAAAAATGGAGCTGATTTGCTCCTAGGCCATCATATCCTTTTTCTTATTGCTTTCTGCTAAAATATATGTTACCCAATGTTACGTGTGGAATGAAATTCTGGACTTTTCTTAACTCTTTTACTTAGTTATTCAATTCTATAGAAGGAAACACTTTGATATGGCCATAAAGACCAAATGGTATGAACATAAAGTGACATCAAAAGGTAACATTCCCGGCAGAGCGAAATGTTGGAGAAAGTTTCCTTAATCCACTCGGCTCTGTTTACCTAGCAGTAAGAAGGAACCCGGTTGTTAGTCGATTGGTGGATCACTTTTCTGGGGGGGTAATAATTCCTTCAATTTTTTTTAAAAAATTAATAAATTGGTACCTCAATCCACGACTGTTTGTGAGACACTGTTGTGCACAATTGGCCGCTGCGTTTTCACCCACAAAATACAGTCAATTCACTTTACAGTATATTCTGTGAAGCGCTTTGAGACGTCTCGAAGACATGAAAAGGTGCTATATCAGTTGCAAGAATTATTATTATTATTATTATCAAAATAACGTGGGACTCACAAGTGCATACAGGTAGAACAGTAATCTGTGATAAACCGAATATCATTTTAAACTAATAGATTGTACATTGATGTGGCCATTCCAAGTGACTGCAAAATACAAAATATCTCAGGAAATATGCTGACCTATGAATTAAGTGTGGACACATGTGGTAGTACAACACAAGCATAGTTCCTATCATCATTGGTGCAACTGGGATGGTTAACAAGACAATTAGGAAATATTTTTACAAGATGTCCACCTCCTGCAGAAAGTAGTTATTTGGGGAAATTTAAAAGAAAAATACGAAAAATAATATCCATTCAAATGTAACGGGGCAGTATTTAGGGTCTGTCTGACCCAACACTGAAAATCACTTAGAAACTACTTCTGTGAAGTTATCTAATCTGAAATAACATTATAATAATTCTTACATTTGATACAGCACCTTTCATGTCAGAAGGACAGCTTAAAGCACTTCACAGGATATACAATAACAACTCTATATTTTTAGTTGATTCGATCTTACCCTCCAGAATACCAAAGTATCTAGGATAAACAATTTTTAGCATATTTACCTTTCAGTTGTGCTCTACGCCTTATTGACCTTGGAGAAACGCAAGCCACTAAACTCTTCTTTGCACATTGAGGAGTTTGTCTGATTGGTACCATTTCTGCTGAAGAGCCAACGTCAATAGGAGGCAAACTTGACCTTTCACCATTGCGATGCAACAAATGATTGGAGTTGATTAAGGACTGTGAACGTATGTGATTTCCCTTCTGAGGCACCGCAGGTGAAATGATAAGTTTGGCTGCAGATTGATGCTGTTCCTTTAACGAAGTAGGAAGTGGACGAAGATATTCCAATAATTCACCTTTCTTTGGTGACTTACTCATTGATGTGTCAACAAATCTGCTGGAATTCTTTGGTTCCTGGCATTGCCTGTGGCTGACAAAGTCCTTTGAGCTGCAAGTGTCTTGCTGTTCAATCACACGCTCTTCCCTTTTCTCTTGAGAATTTTCTGCCATTTCTGCCGCTAAATTGAAATCAAAGTTCACTGGGTTTTGCAGAGCTTCTATATAGGATTCCCGATAACGGCATTTCATCTCCTGGTTTTTGAACTCCTGATTTGATCTTCTACTTAAGCATGGTGAACAAGGCTCTGCAGCAAACCTTATTGTCCTCCCACATGCCCACGTGCTGTTTGCTGAAACAGCTGAGACTGAACCCCCGTTCTTATATAGGGGTTGTGTGATCAGACCAGTGCAATTATCTTTAGAAAACATCATTAGATCCACATAATCTCCCTCCAGATCTTCGTCTGAGACTTTGCAAGGATTCGGCCAGACGTTTTCCAATCTCACAGACTGGTCCTTCGAATATTTTGTACTGTCTTTTGGAGCCAAGTTGCTCAACACACTTTTATCATCCTGCCCAGCCATTTTCGTCTCGCCGTCTTGAACCGAAGGGTTATTCTCTGCGACTACGTCCATTGTCATCCTCACAGCCCCACAGTCATCCTTTGCTGCTTGACTGGAAATATGATTGCACGGAGGTGATACTTTGAGTTTACTTACAAATTCAGGTGTCACTATTTTAGCCCAAGGCAATTTCACAACCCCATTGTCCGTGGCTAGCAGGCAAGCTTGCAATGGCGTTCCAGCGCGCTTACTGTTTATCCGCTCCAGCCATCCCAGTGTGAATATACTGGTGTAGGATATTTCCGGCAATCGCTGCTCCTCCACTGTGCAGAGGTCTCTGCTGAGATATTTCAGCACAATCCGCGCAGATTGTTGTCCGCGAGGTACAATTTGTAGATAAAAGTCACCGGGCCGCAGGAGAAAGACGTTGAAAGAGGACAGTTGGATCACTACTTTCTCATGGAGGCACAGAGGCCAGCCTTCATGGCGGAATAGCAGACTTGAATATCCAGCCTGAGGGCAGAAAACAGACATGCTGTATTAATAGGAAACATAGTGTGAGGCAGTACTTATAAATAAGCTGTTACTGTGTTATTTCAGGAGGTTGGTTCCTAATGGACAAGGAACATTAAAATTGTTTGCTTTTATTAATATTCACTGATAAATACAGGGTATTTTTGCATAAAAGTCAGTCACTTCAAAAATTATTTTCACTGGAATTTCACTCATAGAAAAATAAATGAAATGGCTGATTTTTTCAGTGTCCATGACAGCGCTCACTGCTTCTGAACCTCGCCTCGCTGCACTCCTGTTTCCGGGAATGCACGTGCAGTACGATGCGATCACAATGTGCAATCATTCACAGAACCAGCAGTTCTTGAGGAAGGTTTCAGAATGCAAGCTTCACATTGCCTAGGCTGCTGCTCCAGTTCCCAAATACAAGTGCAATGCTGGGGGTGCTATATTGTCAAGGTTGGACTCTGATGTTAAACCGAGGATTGTCCCATTTGCCTATTCAGGTGGACGTTAATGATCCCATGAAACTATTCAAAAAGAAAAGGGAGTTTCTTCTGGTGTCGTGGTCAACAATGGCCCATATAAAATTGGTCAGTCGATTTATAGCTGTTTGTGAGGCATTGCTGGGTGCAAATTGGCTGTTTTGTTCACCTACAAACTAGGCAGTTGCATCTGTTTATTTCTAACTAAACATGTATATAGGTTATAGTGTTTAAACAAATTCCTAATGTTCTGACTGTTAAAACGGATCATCCTGCATCTGTGGCCTTGGTGCCAGAGCCAGCACTATACGTCTATGTGACAGGCAGGAAAGGTAGGTAAAGGTAAATCTAAGGAGCAGACTTTGTGGATTGAGCAAACCTGCCCTACTTCTGTAAGCAGAAAATAAAATCACAGGGATTCAGAGGACAACTACTAACACACTCTTTGCATCATGTACAATTTCTCGCTTGAAACAGCATTCAGAATTTGAGGCCCTTTCTGCTCATAGAGAGCCCAGTTTAGCAGCTGGGCGGGTGCCAGTGGGTAAATTGGGAATACAGAAGCATGGAATGAATATGTCTGGATCGCAAGGAGGAGGTGAAGTGTCAGCCGGGAGGACAGTGTGACCAGCATTGAAGTAAAGAGGAGGAATCTGTAACAGAGGGCTATACAGCATGAGGATTTAGAATCAGCAAAGTACATGTGCTTTAAGCATGCCTAAGGCTAGCCTGATTTTGACAGACATCAAGTCTACTATAATCAGGATACATTAAATTTATATTGAAAAATGTAAAGAAATTGTACAATAAACCCTGTTCCAAACAACCAGAGATCCTCAGATGAAGATTCAAATAAATGTTTGAGCCCTTAAACTGCACTGACACTCTAATGCAGTACCGGGGGGTGTGGGGGTGCACTGCATTGTCGGAGGAGAGATATTAAATTAAGTCTGCTTATCCAGTTGGATCTTAAAGATCCCGTGGCACTATTGGAAAAGAGAAAGGAGTTTCTCCCAACAATCCTCCAGATAAAATTGGTCACATTTCATCGCTCTTTATGGGATTTTGCTGTGTGCAAACTGGCTACCGTGTTCACCTAGAAATACACAGTCACTACACTTTATGAAAAACTCTGAAGAACTGTTAGGCATTGTCGAGATAAGGCGCTATATAAAATGCAAGGTTTATTATTATTATTGTAATATGCGTGCAAACTGAAAAAGTTGGTAAAGAAAGGAGAAGTTTCTGTTTCAAATTAACAACTGGATAACCTTACCACGCAGGATTATAAAGCAAACTTCAAATTCCTCCAAAAATATACCCTGGATTGCTATTAACATTGAAAACAAATGTTTTTTGTTCCAATTTTATCAATTGTCATTTTTTTTTAAATCATCTGCTGCATGTATCCTATTTCCTATTGCGAAACCCAGCACTCCTGAGAGTCTGAACGATTGTCAGTGACATGTTGCTCCTGATAACCCAATGCCTTTACTGACATAATTAACCTATCCTGCTGCAATTTTCTGCCTTCCTTTCCCGAAGTTGCTGCCTCACATCAGCGTGTAGTTCCGAGGGCTCTTTCCACGCTCCACACAAGTGGCCATTTGCGCTACTTCTTAATAATGCTACTTCTTAACGGAATTCCTTAATAATGAATCCATATCGTGAAATCAGGATTGTGATAATAATAATAATAATCCTTGCATTTGATTTAGTGCCTTATCATGTCAATAAGACATCTCAAGGTGCTTCACAGGATACTATAAAGTGAATTGATTGTGTGTTTTGTGGGTGAAATGCGGCAGCCAGTTGCACACAACAGTGTCCTACAAACAATCATGAATTAAGTGACCATATTTGGGGTGGGGGTGTGGGGCGAAGAACACAAACTGTGTCGCGCAAACCTGTAGGAATTCCAATGCAATCTACTCCTGGAGTGGAGTTGAGTCCTTATGAAAGAACACGACTTCTCAGTAAGTTTACGAAAAAACGATCGAGACACAGAGGAGCCTTCAGAAGAGACCAGTGGCATTTTCTACTTCGGAGACCGTTTTGGGATGTTGCACAATTTTGTGGTACGTGATCAGGAGTAAAAAAAAATCATGTGCATTTTATTCAAATGACCCCCCCCCCCCCACCACCCCCAGAGCAGTGTAGAAATTCATTCTCGAGTGGCTCAGCTGCAAGTCCCACTGCCAACAATGACTGCATTCAGTATTTTCCTGATCACGTGCCAGCACACAAGTGCTTTCCCAACAGACCCTCACCTTCTACAAAAAAGAAATCAGTAGGTGCGGGACCTAATAAATATGTAGGCTGTTTGCTTTTGAGCTGACTGTTTTTCCCTCTGAAAGTTATTAAGAGCCTTAACGATGAATTTACTTTCCACAATCTATATCTAACTCCCAGTGGAGAGGGGAGGAGGGGTGGGGCATTGAGTTCACAGTACAAGGAAAATTCAAATCTGGTAGTAATTTGAAAATTATGCTCAGAGATCAGAAAGAGAAACCGTGGGAAAAGGAAGCAGATATACTGCTGGAGTGAAAATGCTGGTATGAGAGTCATCGGGATAATGTAAGCAAGTATTTATTTAAAAAAGATTCAGTGCATCCAATTAATCTCTGCTCTGGTTGCCCTCAGGTACCCGGCCAAAATGAGCTCTGGCAACGACTGCATAAGACCAGCCAAGCCGCCACAAGCACATTCCTCTTCTCATCCTGGATGCTACACATGCACACCACCTATAGAGGGTGCTCAAGAGGGACAAGGAGCAGTGAAATGGGCTGACTTCAACCTCCTTGACCCTGGAAAGAGACAATTTAACATTCCCACGCAATTGAGACCGGCAATCTCAGCAGGATTTAAACAAGCAAGCTCCCTGTCTGTCTGCTGCAACTCTATCCATTGCACCATTTGGGCTGCCTATGTACATGCGTTGCATTTGACTTTCAATGGTGTGATGAGGCACTGTATGAAATGCAAGGATTATTTTTTATCATTTGAATTGAGAGTTTGATACTCTGGTGCGAAGTAGGTTGTAAACAGAGCTCTGAAACTACAATGACTCGATGGCTTCTTTCAAACATGGATTCAATTTTTCAAGTGTCACATTGTGGCAGTACAACTTTCCCGTTGAGAGTGACATGATGCATTTTCACCAATGACAACTGCCACCTAACCAAATCTCACCCTTGTGATAACTTTTCTCCCCACCTCTTCTGAAAGCTCTGACCCATTCCAGAGTACAGTTCCACAGGCATCAGTCATCCTGCCAGCAGCTCAGCAAAAGGTTATTCTTTATGTGGGTGTTTAGACAGTGTACTTTGGCAGGCTATCCAACCATAGGGTGGGACATCGCAACCACGCCTGAACCTGAACTTATCTGAGACCCACAATTCCTACCTCGTCTCAACATTACAGAACGCATAGAACTGTGGACAATTCTTAAATGTAGTCTTAATTTGAAAGCTGTTTATCTGCAATCCTTAAAAAGAACCAACGTTAGACCAGATTAATAATAATCTTTACATTTGATGTAATAATAATAATAATTCTTGCATTTGATAGCGCGTTTCACGTCTTCTAGACGTCTCAAAGCGCTTCACCAAATATACTGTAAAGTGAATTGACTGTATAATTGGGGGCGAAATGCGGCAGCCAATTGCACACAGCAGTGTCCCACAAACAGTCGTGGATTGAAAATGACCAATTTATTATTGTTTTTTTTGGAGGGATTATTATTAAGCGTGTGGAGTAAGGAAACTTGCCCAAGGTTTCGCCTCCTGCCTGGAATTGAACCCAGGTGTCTCGCTTGCAAGGCGAGTGCTCTAACCACTGAGCTACAGGACTCCACAAATAGCGCCTTATCACATCTTCGAGATGTCTCAATGTGCTTCACAGAACATACTGTAAAGTGAACTGACTGTATATTTTGTGGGCGAGTGAATTAAGAGCGAATTTAAGAATTTTTCGCAATTTTATCAAACTTAAATTTCAAGACAAGAAATTTGGGGCCTCAGATACACCCATTTGTGCACTTTCCAGCAGGTATTATTGAATCGTAATCAGGAAGATCAGAGGCAGGAATTTCAGTGGGTGATCCTTAGGAAATTGAGCAGATATAGGGGATTATG